ATTCAGCATACCGCAATTCTCTGGAGGAAATGGGTTCGAGGCATGGAAAAGGCTTACAATCGGTTAGTGCTTTAAACATTTTATGACTTTTTATAGATTAATAAATCATAAACAAATCAATATTAATCATAGGCTACATAATTATATTTAAATGCAATTAATCACAAATAGTTCAAATGCTGCTACTCTACTGCCCCAGTAGTCAAAGATGATTAAGCTAACGAACTGTGGACTTTATGGAATGTCATAACCGCAGCGAAGTGAATCATCAGATTACAGTAATTACTACACAATAATTATAGTACACAACATGAAATGAGTAGTGAAACACAGTTAATACGTGAAAGTCATTTACCTATATGTCAAGGTCACAGGGGCAATTCGACTATATCAGTATAAAATGAAGATGACCTTAGCTGTTCAGCTTTTACTGACAAAATCTGAAGCTAAATACTGGATTAAAAGTTAAAAACCAGCATTATGACGTCTTTTTCGCATTATCGCTAATCGATGATACAGTTATATCATGATAGTGAATGCGCATAATAACAGAGCTTTATGAGAACACATCTTTTACCTGTTAATCAACAATAATTCCAACCTTCGTACAGATTTACATGCATCACGTTATAATACATGTCCAGTATATAAGTACTTATCAAACATGAGCACTGCATGATTCGTGTTGGCCCTACACTAGTTAACAAATCAGTGATTAAACGCAGATGGTTCCTTGCTGATCGTGCGCTGTGAGCGATTAGGAGCGCTTGAATACCTGCGACTCTTCTGCAGATGAAAGGGGCCGTCATCATATTCAAAGATACTAATGCAAAATTTGCACAGCTGCGTGGCGTAGTAGCACAGTTGTCTAACAGGTCCTGCCCGCAGGTGCCGGGTTCGATTCCTGCCTTAGGGCAACTTTCAACTTATTCATGAATTTCCTTCAGCAAAAAATTATTACATGTTGCTTAAGACCACTGTTGCCCAATCGGTAGAGCATCTAAATCAGAACTGATATGTCTTCTTTGTTCAAGCCAGGATCATGATGATTCGCTTATCTTCCATCTGAAGTCAGCAAATGACTACCACTATGTGGGAAGGAAACAGGAAAGACTATAAGCTACGCTTGCCAGACAGCTGTAAACTCTGACTTAAAAAATAATGCCATCCTGGCTGATGGCACAGACGCAAAATTCAGCACCCTAACATCAAATTCATGGAAAAAAGCGCCAAAATAGATCAGGAAAGTGAAGGAAATCAGGAAAGTGAACGAAGATCGACATTTTAACAAAGACTAACTTTCCTTTCCTTCCAGTTCAGATCATGGGCATAAACCCATTAGAAATGGGTCGATTTTATGTGGCTGAAATTCAGCCAAAAAAAGAATCATTTTTCAAAAAAGACGATCTCTCAGGAGGAGCTGCTGACAGAAGAAATTTCGCTGAAAGAGGGAGGCTGATGACAGAGAATATTACCAAAAATAGCAAATCGCGGAAGATTTTTGCCCAGGATGGTTCTTTCTTTCAGATTAAAATCGACTATCGCCGCCTCACACTTAGCCGCCATCATATTCGCATTTTTAAAGTATAACAGTAAAAGCACAACATTAGAATGCAAATAAAAAGCACATGAACAGAGAACCATAGCTTTCTAGCTTGTCACATACATGGCGCCGCACTTCAAGCCAAGTTGCTTGAGCATCTTTCTCTCGACGGACGATAACTGACTGACACACAGAACGCAATCAGTAAGGATTGTAGGAAGGCTTTCGAGACAAACACTCTTATAGAACGCGCTGTCGTCAATGCACACAACCCTGTTCCAGACGTGGCAAGCGCACTACACAATAAAAAAATTAATTAAAACAAAAACTGATTAAATATTGCACATTAAATTAATACCAGCCAATTTTCAGTGACGCTGCGCGAAGACTTCTCGATGAGTTCAGATCGAGACAATAGAAACGGCGTCACGGTGTAATCCGTAGTAACTTCTTCCGAAACGATTCCTGACAGTCAAAAATATTAAGTTAAATTTCGAAAGTACATCTCAAAAAATTGCTTTCCTTGAAACGTAAAAACGGAATAACAAATCAGGCATCAGATAAATAACATTTATCACAGGAACAGATATCGTAATAATAATCCAGCTTTAATGCCAATAAATTTTTATTGTATATCAATATATAAATTACATATATGTTATTAATAAACCTTGTTTTTTCCAATTTTCAAATTCACATCGTCCCATCGTGGAGAGTGAACAAAAA